CGGATCGCGCTGCTCCTGCACAAGCCTCTGCACCCGCATGACCTCCTCCAATAACGACGACATCGTATGGTCTGAAAATACAAAGTCAGTTATGAAGTAGAGGGTTGGAGGATGGAGTTGGGGGGCGCATTCAATACCTTGTATCTGCAGCTACGCTCGCAAAAGAATTTCTTTGGAGAAACCAGCTTCTAGTAAAATTCTGCAGTAAGGGGCGACGATATGCCACCGCAAGGCTTCTATTCATATTGGCATGTCGAATACGTCTTGTGCGATTCTTGAATCAGTGGGAAATTCATGGGCGGGGATTTATTTTTCTATAAGGCTTATCGGAGTTTTTTGGTCTTCGCCGATTGGCTGCACGCGTTTCGAAGGTAATCGATCACGACAACATTGAGCATGTCTAATTTGATATACTGTTACAGGTTGTTACTATCTGAATGTGCTTATCAGGTATGGATTGATTCCTTCGAATTAAATGGGGCAACGATTCAGGCATTTTGGTTTGAGGTCAATATCATAATGAGTTAGCATGTAAGTTTTCAAAAGCACACTTATCATGTATTTATTTTTCATATATTATCAGGTAGAGAAGTATTCAATGAGTTGATAGTGTATTCTAGGGAGCGTGTTTTTGAGAAGTCGATATCAAGATTCATTGTACAAAGGCACAAAAGGGGGGACCAGAAGTTAGTAAATTAAGCGATGAGCATTAGGAGGTGGTGCAATGGAAGATAGGTAAATGAGAAGATAGGAATATAAGCGTTGAAGAAGATAAAACAATACGACAGGATATATAGTTTTGGTAAATAGGTCGAATTAATCTATAACGTCAGAGAAACTTAACCATACTCGCTGTCGTGGAATGAATGCACAAATTCATGCATATCGATATACATATTCGTTACTCTTCGTCTAAATGTCACAGTTTCGACGGAAATCTTTCAATACATATCCGTCTAATTTTCTTCTAACATTGAATTTAGTGTTTCCGTCCCGTTTCATATCGAATCCGCATCAGTGAGGATAGCTAGGTAATTGCTCCAATCCAAGTATATCTTACACATAGCATCTCCCGTTCTTTAACAAATGCTTGCATCTGAATACTCTCATCCCACAAACCTCTTGTCAGACCTTCTTACACGTATTAGTAAGTCTCTTAAAACTCTAATGTGTAGGCAAAACCTGCTAACACCTATTCACACGTACGAGACACATGTACGAAACACTGCTCTGGCCATCAGTAAATTAATATATACCTTGACCTCCTCTCCCCCTCATCTTCGACAACCAAACTCAACTGCTAACTTGTAAACTATCATCTGACGGGAACTTAGGGGTGCAATTACTAAAGTCAAGACCTTCAAATCCATCTTTACATCAAAAGCACTCACCTGAACAGTTGAGATCAATGCTATCACTACCCAACATGAACCATCCCAGTAACAGAATGAGTGAAGGCAATAAGAACAACATTAGCAAAGTTACAATTGCGAAAGTATCATTAAAAAGCAGTTTTCTGAAGGTTACAGACATACAGCAAGAAATGTTCAGCAGGAAGGCGCAGAGAACCTAGAAGTAATATGTGCTATTCATCAATGTACGTAATAGCTATGTCGAATTGAAGCTTCGAGGAAGCAGAACAAGTTGCAAATTTCTCGTGGATGATATGCCTCTCATGTAGGATCACAAAATAACACATGGCTAGAATTGTCTCTCGGAGATGAGGTCTCAAACTACGATAGCTTGATACTGTATGAGGGAGTCAGAGGGACAATGCAAAATTTCATTTGACCACAATATATCGCAACTGACAGTCATCGAAATACATACAAACGAGATGATCGACATGGTTTCCGTTTGTTTTGCAATGTCTCTAGACAAACAGAGCAGCTGAAACCCAAGAAGACTCTTGCTGTGTATGAATCTGTATTGAAAAGGATGTATAGATGAAACAATCAACAAATTACTGTTTATCCTACCGTATCTCCAAGCAAAACATGTAGCAAGTGAGATGAAAGTAAATACAGGAATAGGTCTATAACAAAAGCAGAAGCAGAAGTGGATGGATGAGGTGATGGACGACCTACAACACAAGCGAGAGAACCCCCCCATTCATTTCCTCAAATCCTTCCTTGAAGCATTAATCTCCCTAAGCAATCTTGTAGATAAAATAATACCTATAGAGAACTTATCTGTAGAGTAGCAGCCTGTGATTCACAGGTTCACCTACCTATCTTTCTTGATTCATTTGATACAACGGCTTGAACTCGCGCGAATGACAGAATCCACATGAACTGATCAATGCACTTGAAGGGTTCCCAGTTCCGTTAATTTTCAAAACAAAACGAACAGGAAGAGCGTATCTCGAGAGGCTACTATACAAGATAGCCTGCCACGTATTATATCATAGCAACAAGCAACAAGCAACAAGCAACAAAGATTTATGGTTATTATAACGGATTCATTTCTGTTTAGCCATCAATGATAGCTCTGAGTAGAAGCTACTAACTACATGTATCTGCGACGATAAACTCTAGCGGCCAAGAAACACAATCTGAGATCCGAGTTTTTTTTGTTTTGTTTTATGTATTGCTGGTCCCTCCCACACAGCTGGGCTAACTGCTTCTCCTTCCCCCAGTAATCCAACTCAATTGCTGTAGTCCAGGCGGCCGAATCTTGCCTTAAGAAATGTAACAATATCAATCGTTATAGTACGAGATTTGAGGTATGACCATCAATCGTAAGAACATTTCCGAAATTGCTCCCCAATAATACAAGGCAAACCAGCCCTAACATTGCGAGAACTAACATGGGTATACCAAGCCATCATCTCTATAAAAATGCCACAAACCCTGAAAAGCCCATGCACCAAGTCGTAACCATAACGCTCTCACTGGAGGAAGAAAAAGTGTGCATGATAACCAGAACGCCAGTATTGGAACCCTATCTGTGATGCCATATAAGCCATCACCCGAACTCCATTTGCCATGAGAAAAAAGAAAAGTAGATTTGCACAGGAAGTTACCTTGCTGATCCAGCAAAGCCAGGCGAATCCAGTTTTAAGATCCGTCTTAAATCGTTTTCCATGCCTCGAAAATCGGGATTGCTAGTTCCAGGGAGGGTACCAGAGGAACCTTGTGGCACAGGTGAGGAATGTGTGACTTGGGTGGTATTATTAAGATTATTGCCAGCTGAGAAGTTATTTCCATAGATTTGAGAGAGATTTTGGGATGGCCCGTATGAATGAGCACGCTCAGGTGTTCTTGTGGGAGTTTTCGCTGGGGATACTTCTTGACGAAGACCTGATCGAGCGGATTTGGGGACTTCACCTGAGCTTCGGGAATCACCTCTGAATTTGTAGTTGGCCTGTGGGGATCTTCCAGGTAGACCGCCATTCCTTGGGCCAGTCGGAGAGCTGTGTCCGCAATGATTGGACATTGCGGAATTTGTCGTTAAGCTCAAAGCAGGCCCAAGGTTGCCATTGGTGGATGGCCCCTCAGAAAAAAGGTAAGCCTTGAGTTGTTCTGACTTGTCTAGTGGTGACTGAGAGTGACTTGGCGACACTTGATGTGGCTGCGAGGGACTCGAATTCTTGAGTGCTTTCATGATCCTTTCATTATAAGGAGTGGAGAACGCTGGCCCCAATGGTAATCCGGGACTGTTGGATCCATCCTCCTCCATGGAAAACATACTACTTGCCGAACCACGAGAAGCTGGTATGTTTTTATTACGGAATTGACTGTTGGGTTGCGATGGAGTTCTTGTGTTCCCCGGCGACTCGACTGGGGGATTAAAAGGCCCAGCAGAACCGGTGGCATTTGAGTTGGTACTTCGTGCTCGTATCTTTTCGGCCTTCTCCCGTTTATCTGCTTTGAAGAAAAGATCGAGGGGTGATTCCTCCCTATGTGACACATCCCTAAATATTTGTGCTGAAGATGGAGTTTGTGAGGATTCATCTGCCGAGGAATCTGGCTCTTTGATCGCACTTCCAGTCCTGATCGCTGGCGATTCTGGGACAGACTTTGAAAAGAAACTGGGCATAGGTAAAGCCGACGGGGCGGGAGATGCATGGAAAGTTGGGCCTGCATAGACTTGAGCTGCAGATGGTGTTTGAATAGGTCTAGGAGCAGTTGAGCCACTGGCAGATTGAGCACCGGTCAATGGTGGGGTAGTTCGATCACTCCTACTTGCAACAGGAGACGTCTGAACATTTTTTGGTCTTCTCTTGTTGGTAGACTTTCTGGAGCTATTGTCGGGTAGGGCTGAATTTGGTTTATTTTGAGAGGCTGGCTGGTTCTGCTGGACTCTTCGAGGAGTTCGAGGAGGGGTAGTAGGTTGCTGATCAGAATAAGTCATCGAGGGGCGCATGTTTTGTAAATATGCTTGGCTATTGTAATTATGCGGACTTTGAGGGGCGTTTCGAGGTGAGGCTGTTCCGAAGTCTGCAGTGAAGCTTTGGGGTTGACGTTGCCCTTTGTGGGGAGTCATCGAGGACATCTTAGATCGACGCCTGTGAATGTGTGATTGGGTTGATGAGAGCTGTTCTTTATACAATGAAACCCGAATGATTATGCTTGGTAGATAAGAGACGAAAGCTTCCGCGTGTCTGTGCTATTGCGTGTGTAGATCAGACGGTACGAAATGGTGGACTATAGGTAAGGAGGTGGTCGTTCGTTGGTTGTGTCTCGCAATCTCGTTGAAGAGTAGTATTTTTGGTTGAATCTGTTTAATTTTATGTGGTTGATTGATTGAAGTGAGTTATTCATTGTTTTCGGTATGATGGTTTTGTAATGTGTGATATGTTGTTTTCACAAGAGAAGGGGGAGAGAGAGAGGCTGAAGAAGGTAAATGCGATACAACGACCGATCGCCCTACTCCGTACCGTTTCACTGAACGATTTGTGGATTATTAGTCATCCTTCCAATCAAATCACCAAACCCTCAGACTCTTCAGACAGATACCGATACCGTGAGCAGGATGAAGGCAATGAAGGTAATTCAAAGACATTCTTTATTCATTCGACAGCCTTACAGCTATAGCTACAGCCACATCCCTACGGCTGAATAGTTCTATTTCTTAATCGAGGTCCAAGGAATTATAGTACATAGTACAGTATTAGCGCTCTCCTTTCAAGCTTTGTTTACACCAAGCCTGACAGCGGCCAACAACACACGTGACCAAAGACTGTCATGCCTAAACTAGGTACGGATAGGTAGTTCCAGAATATCAAAATACCATCATACGTCTACAGTAGATTGATATCTATCTGCGTTCAAAATCATACTTATTAAACAAGAAGTTCTTTCATTTTAGATGCTGAGATTAATAAACGTTCTTCCACTACAACAAACACCAACCTTCATTGAAGCCGATTAATACAATCATCAGCTTATCCATATTAAATTCGCAACCCAATTCGTTCGCATCTCATCCTGAAGTACCCCGCCAATACCAATAATTTAGATAACCATCGACACTACGGATATCCCCATCACCATGGCAGACGTAGAAATGGCAGATGCCCCACCAGCTACAGGAAAGAAGAACGGTCTTAAGAAGGCTGGAGGTGGTGAAGGTTCGGAAGGCAAAAAGCGCTTCGAAGTGAAGAAGGTATAGATGCCTCGATTGTTGTTGGTTTTCTGCACAGCTTTAATAAGATATCTAGTGGAACGCGGTAGCTTTGTGGGCATGGGACATTGTTGTTGATAACTGCGCTATCTGCAGAAATCACATTATGGATCTTTGTAAGTTCGAGGGTGCCAAACTGGATACCAACTGCTGACTTTTACAAAGGTATCGAATGTCAAGCAAACCAAGCCTCTGCCACAAGTGAGGAGTGCACTGTAGCTTGGGGAATTTGTAACGTCAGTAAATTCCTTTCCCCTAAAGGTATTTGTTCTAATATCAGACTACGAACAGCACGCTTTCCATTTTCATTGCATCTCGCGCTGGTTGAAGACACGCCAAGTTTGCCCACTTGATAATAGAGATTGGGAGTTCCAGAAGTATGGTCGTTAAGTTGGGGGTTTGGGATTGTATTTGGGATTGAATGGGATATTTGAGGAAGATGGTGAAGCTACGGACATGAATGAAGTATAATATACCAAAAAGAGCGGCACGAATCCCATCTGCGCGGTTCATCCGAGACCCAGTAGGAGACAAATGGAGAATTTCTGGCAGGAATGGCGTTAAGGACACAGAAGTAGAGCGAAACTTTTGGTACAATGTAGCTTTCAATGTGAAGCTTTTTATTTGTGCCAATATATTGTTTGCATTTTGAGGTATTCCCAATCCTGTGACGCCCCCAGATTAAATATCCCTTGAACATTTCTTCAACCAACCGTCTTTCCGTCCACAACAATCCCTTGTGTCGATGCATCCCGTCCACCTAAAGGTAACCATCTAACGGGATGTTTCTTGTAGAAGGGCCATGGAGGCACAACGATGGCGAAGGTAAATGCGGTTCCAAGTAAACCGAAAGCAAGCGCTAGTTTGATATCTTGTTTGAAGAAACCAACAAAGAAGGCAATGGCCTAGTACTATCGATCAGCTTATTTCGAATGGTCATGAATGGATGGAATGGTTTACTCCGGAGATTGCTAATAGAGCTGTTGTCAAGAATTCTGCCAATCTCTGACCTTCAAAGTCCTACACACGCAACCGGGAATCAGCATCAGACCCAGCTTTATGACCTTCAATAATATGATTGTATACGAACAATTTGCCCTTCGGCAAGATCCCGAACCTGGTCAAGAATTTGGTCTGTCATCTTCGTGATTTGTGTGCAAAGTTGGATGACCGATTTATTACAGAAGCAACGGATCAAGCCTTTTACTAGATAAGAACGTCGATTTTGTGAAATGTTACCAAGTTCTGAAGTGTCCCTTGAAGCTTAAGTTGAGGCCACACTTCAGCCTTGTCATGATTACAGGCACCCTTGACTACTAAACGCCTTGGCCGAGAATTGGTAACCAGGCTATTCATAGGAGAGAAAAGAGTCCAAATTGAATCACCTCATTAAATTCTATGATTAATCAATTGATAATAAAATATCAAAAATAAATAAGTTAACATTAAATAAATTCTTAAATAATCTTTAAAATGTAAAAACTATTTGAATATTTATCAATTCTCTAAAAGTTGGAATGGAATATTTGGATTATTGGAGGGCTTAAATTAGTGGTTAATTCCGGCCTGTTTTTCCTCCTACGAATTGCCCGGGGCTAAAAGCATATGGTTAGAGTTTGGGTGAGGGATGAGCGATTTTGGTTCAACAAGATGTACAATTCACTTGATTACCGTTACTCAAATGGGTTGATGTTAAAGTTATCCTATACATCATACTATTATAGATACCTAGGTATATGAGCTGGACGAAAGAAAACCTTCAAGTCTTGGCTAAATCGATAGTAGATAGGATGTGATTGGAGAAGATTCCAGTTCATGCATGGCGATAATCCACGACCAAAAAAGGCTTGGAAGATAATGAATGTATTCTAAGATGTCTGGATATACCAATGAAGATGTTCAATGTCACCAATTCACATTCCCAAATCAAGATCAATATGTCTTCTCGTGGGACCCAGGTCTCTTTTAGACAATTAGAACGCAGGCAACCCAATGAATCAATGCACCAATGCACCAATGCACCGATCCCGGATTTGAAAAGACAACTTGCGTCCTTGGGTCTGTTGAAGAATAGTATCAGGTCTTGGCCTTGGGATGATGATACACAATCATACCACACCAAATGCCTCGATGGCTCCGAGCAGAAGGATCTGCCATGAGGAAGTTGTTCATGTGGGAGAGATGATTGTGAAGAGAAGGAACGAATATCATCTCTTATGATCTAATCTAAAGAGACATGTAAGACTTAACAAGATACAATTGATACCTAACTACCTGACCACCTACCTAACCATACCATACCATATCTATCGAATGTCTGAGAACTGGACGTTGGTAGGTCAATTGTTCATCAACTGTTCATCAATTCTCTGTCAATTCTCCATCAACTCTCTGTCAATTCTCCACCAACTCCCCCCACCAAATTCACTTTTTTCCAATGAATGGAACTTGGAAGAAAATGTAGTAAGGAATAAGAAATTATTACTGTACACCTGGGAAACACACCTCAATACCAGCCATCGTATAAGATTCGTAACCCATATCCATATCCCATATCGTAACTCGTACCGACACTAAAACTAACAAGCGCCTCCACCAAGATTTTCTCTTTCAAGCTTTCTTCCTCCAACTCCACTTCTTGTCCTCCTTGAAAAATTACCTCTCAAACAATATCGGATTGGTTTCGACCTTTCAACTCCCTTTTTTATTTAAACACAACATCTACCATTTCAATTATTATCTTCACATATTCTTTGGCGACTAGCAACTTACCAAATATCATTTATTTGGCCGTTGGCTGTACCCTTAGCCATAAAGCAACCAAGTACGCTTTGGGTTCCCAACACTACATACAGCAGACCGACCTTTTCTTCAACTTCTTTGCCTCGAGAAAAACTTCAACTCAAGACCGGCCACCCATAAAACCTACTTTCCCACCCTTCCAACAACCTAAGCCACGATTAACTTCATTTAAATACTGTCCCATATCGAAATATTCAAATTGTCGCATAAAAGCGGTTATCGAACTCGAGCGTCAATTCATTTCGACTCAGAACGCCTCAACGGCTTCATAAACAACCAACCACCAAATTGGCGGGACTCGTATTCCAAGGCTTTTCCTTCATCCGTCCCCTCCTCGGTCCAGTGAAGATCTGGGCCTACTGCGGAGGCGACAAGAAACCCCCATAATTGCACTTTAAGCAACCCAAAAACAAAATACACAACTGCAGCTATACATACAAATCAAAAAGGGGTAGCGGGTGGACGAGTAGCCATTCTTCACTAGAAATCACACTGTACAGGGAGTACCTGTGCAAAGCCAACTATCAAATTGACGCCAAACAAGCGGTGGGCGCTCGTTGCGACCTGCCTGGACTCTGAAAGCTTTGGCTTCCTAGAAATCTGTATGCTGTTCTTGTTGTAAGCTCTGGAGTCAAATGGCTAATTCACATGCAGAAACCTAACTTAAATATATCTTATCTATAAAATTATAACTCAAAATGTCTGAACACGAAGACACCTCCCTCGATACCGGCTACAGCACGCCGGTGCCAGAATTAGATGACCACAGACATCAATCCCAAGCTCTACCAAAAGCTCGTTCTCGCAGCGGTACTATCGATAGTATGCAAGCCCCATCTCCTCGAGCTCCACAGAGTCCAGACTTAGCGCGTGTGAACAACACACTTCTTCAAACAATCGCAAGAGATTTCGAGGAAGCCATTGTCGACGAGGACTCGAGAGGTGTATCTCCAATGGCCATTCAAATGGCAGAAAGAAGTCGTAGAGGGACCGCGGCCACTGCCGATATCCGTTCTCTGTCGCCACCAAGCTCAGTGAAAGCATTTGCAGATGCAAGAAGGAGAGAACGAGAAATGTCTGTTTCGGACCCGAGCTCTGGAAACGCATTTGCAGATGCCAGACGGCTCGAAGATCATAATGCTCTTCATAGAACAGAATCACGCGCTAGTCACCGAAGCCATCGTACATTTCGTAGCAGACGTTACACTAACGAGAACGATGCAAAGAGCTTCGCAAGTTCGTGCAAGTCGGCAAAGGAGGATGTGTGCTTCCCTCTACATGCTTCTCCAGCCAAGAACACCCTACAAATCAATTTCGAAACCCTCGAGGATTTCATTTCGGAGGAGGAAAATCGTTCCAAGACTCCTGTAAACCACGCGCAACCTCGAATCTTTCACGATTTGAGAACCAATGGTGCGGTGCCCATGATTGTGACATCGGAAGGTACAGTTGTTGATATTCCTTCTGGTCCACCATCAATCAATGAGAAGTTGGATTCATCTAGCCTCGAAGAACTTACCCGACCAAAGCAATCGCACCCAGACACTAATAGGTTTGAATACTTTTCCTCGCACGGAGTAGATAGTATTCACGCATCAGAATTTGGTGATCTCATCCTGCCGGGAGAGGATATAAGAACCCTATTCACTCCTCCACAAGAAGAAGAACAACAAGGAGAGAGTGTTTGGTGGCTGAATATGAACAGCCCGACAGAGGATGAGGTTCGTGTGATTTGCGAGGCATTTGGCGTCCATCCCTTGACCATCGAGGATATCACAGCTCAAGAAACGCGAGAGAAGATCGAACTCTTTCCTTCGTACTACTTTGCTTGTTTCCGTTCCTTTAGCGTTGTAGAAATCGAGGACGGCCAGGAATACGATCCGTTCAACATTTATGTCATTGTATTCCGAGAGGGTCTACTCAGCTTTAGCTTTTCGCCAAACCCACATGCAGGCAGTGTTCGTAAGCGTATCACATTGCTGAAGGATTATTTGTCTTTGAACAGCGATTGGATTTGTTATGCGCTAATGTAAGTTCTCCTAACAAGCCACCGAGATTATGAACTAACAACTTCACAGTGATCATATCGTTGATACCTTCGGCCCTGTTATTCACAAGATCGATAATGAGACAGACATGATTGAGGATCAGGTCTTTATTGCCCGCAGTGATGACATGCATGCCTTTTTACGAAAAATCGGCATGGTTCGTAAGAATGTTATGGGTCTGATGAAACTTCTGGGTGGCAAGGCCGATGTCTTGAGAGGTTTCACCAAACGCTGTAATTCAAATTACCTTGTCACTCCTCATATGGATATTGGTATGTATCTTGGCGATATTCAAGATCACGTTGTCACTATGATGACCAGTTTGGGTCACTCTGAAAAGATGCTCTCAAGATCGCATAGCAATTATCTCGCACAGCTGTCAATCGACAACATCACCCAAGGGAACAACGCAAACAAGGTTCTCAGTAAGATTACTCTTCTCGCCTCCATCCTCGTTCCTCTTAACTTGGTATGTGGTATGTTTGGTATGAATGTTACTGTTCCTTTTGGGGGTGAGGACACTCTCATTCCGTTCTTTACAATTTTGGCTGTATTGGTGGTTTTCTCTCTGGCTTCCTTGGCCCTTGCAAGACGGTATAGATATATTTAGATGTTCGTGGGAAGAATAGTGCTTGAACTCATAATACTGTTCGGAGGGTTTGTAATTTTGGTAGATGTGGTACAGAAATTGGGCTATAATCATGGTGTTACTATTACGGATCTTTTGAATACATTGTAGATGTCTTTAGATTTTGATATTTTAATAATAAACCAGATGTTACCTAGAATATATAATGAGCTGCATGACTTCAGTGATGTGATGATTGATTTGCGCTTCTACATGTCTAGTCGTCCGTCATATTATTTTCCCAAATGTTGAAGCAGGCAAAAGGAATTTCCCACGTGACCCAATCAATGACGCTGATATCGATAATCTTTGAACTCGGCAAAATTTCTGAAGCTCTCTCAAGCTCTTGTATCAAACCATTGACTTTCAACCCCAGCAAACCACCAATTTCTCTGTCGCACACATAGGAACTTTTTCTTTTCCAAACAAAAGCTCAACACGCAACTGCGAATTTCTTCGATAAGCTAAACAGAAAATGGATTCCTCATCTCTTCAGCAAACCCCGGATCTCTCCAAGTTGTCGGATAGAGACAAGCAGGAATTGCAACAGTTTATTGTGAATGAGACGCAGAAGGCTAGGATTCAACAGTGTATGTTTTTCTTTTTCTTTTTTCTTTTTTCGGTTTTTGTTCCATCATGCAAGGGACAATTTTCCCATGCAAGAGCGAGGAGCGTTTGAAAACACAAACACAAACTAGAACAATCATAATAACAATAACAAGAAGAAGAAGAACAACAACAAGCTAATCCCCTCCCCAAACTAGCCGTCCACTCCCTAACCGACGTCTGCTGGAAGAAATGCGTCACAGGCAGTATCCGCAGCGGTAAACTGGATAAGAATGAAGAGAGCTGCACGATGAATTGTGTGGAGAGGTTTTTGGATAGTAGTATGGCGGTGATTACGCATTTGAATACTATGAGGGCGAATGGGGGGGCTTAGGTTGGAGGTATTGTGTCTGGGGGGGGGTGTGAGATGAGGGAAGGGGGATGTATGATTATAAGTTGGATGGGATGTGATGAGATACGGTGGGATGGGATGGGATGACGTTTTGAGGGAGGAGTCGTGTTGGAATAGACATGGCATGTATACTCTCTACTTCTTTGTGATATGATGAGATAAGGAGGAAGGGGATGGAGTGATACACAGGGTATATGTATATGGATATGAATGAGACATGCATGAATGATGTCTTTTGTATGAATAGAAAAATCTAGAGGGGTATGCTATGTGATATGGGATCAATGAGTAACATGATATCCCCCCTCTTGCAGGATCTTGATCTAGATGTGGAGGAAGTCGATGAATGGTGCTTGGCTGTGTTGATGTGTGGAGGGCAAAAGAGTGGCAAAGTCGATGGTACGACAGCACTTCTACATGAGAGGATGTTAGTCCAATATACGATTTGATAATCACTCTTAGGGGCTTGTGGATCTAGAAGTAAGAGCTCAATTCATTACCCATGATGTCCCTTGTGCAGACAAAACTCTTGGGCTTTCATACGGATCTTTTATCCAATTGCACGTCAAAATCATTCCCCTGTACGCAATGCCTCAAAAAACATGAATTTAGTGCAAGTGGCAGATGTAGATCATAAAGAGCCGTCACAAACAAAACACATAGTTCAAGTGTATCAAGAATTGTCATTGACAGGATAATACTGCATTGGTATACACATTTTGAAAATCATCTCATTACGCTAAATGGATGTGGGTATCGACCAATCGTAGAAAAAGCTGGTTGTTTTTTCCAACCATAAAACTTTTTATTTCCCTCAAATCCAGATTCCTAATTCCACTCCCAGTTTTGATAATTTAGACAATGGCGAGCTTGGTGGCAGCAATGTCAAGGGCATCAACATCAGCAGTAAGACGGGCGAAGGCCTTCTTGGATCCATCAGGTCTGTAATCGATATGTTAGCAAGTTCACATCATTGAAAAATTTGAATTGAGCCTACCTAATGAGGGTGTTGATCTTGACGGTGTCAATATCGTAAAGCTTCTTCAAGGCCTCCTTGATTTGAGCCTTGTTGGCCTTGATGTCGACAATGAAGACAAGGGTGTTGTTCTCCTCGATCTTCTTCATGGCGCTCTCGGTGTTCAATGGGTGGATGATGACCTTGTGCTCATCGAGACGGGGTTGGGAAACGATGGAAGTACGTGGGTACTTTGGTGCACGGGAGAGTTGGAGGGTCTTAGGTCTGTGGAAGGTGGTCGAGAGACGGACCTTGCGGACCTTGTGGGAGTGAACCTGATAGAACCATTAGTACCAAATATTAATCTCAAGAATGGACAGGAAAACTTACACCCTTCAAGGTAGCCTTAGCAGCGGCATTGGCCTTCTTGTTACCACCCTTGGCGGCGGCACCTATTAAAACTTACGCATCAGCAAGCGCTCTTGAAGAACTCGCAATATCTGCTACTGCTGGTGCGCATCTCTCGCATTCCTTCCCGTTGTATCTGGAAATATTTTCATATCTCGTAATTCCAATGCGGTCGCAATATTTTCCAAGGACGATATTGCGATTAAGAAATGCGATCAATGCGAGTTTGAGAGAAAGGAGACTGTACCTTTCTTTGCTACGGGAGCCATTTCGACGAATATACTTCCTGAGGGATTAGTATTGGAATTGAGTTGTCGAGGAGTTGATGGATTGCTTCAAGAAAACATTTCGAGAGAAAAAGTTGAATTCACAGATCGTGGGCGAAAATTTCGCTAATCGGACAATCGTTTTGCCGGATACCGAAGAATCGACTATGGACGCATTTTCCATCTAATTTTTCGAAGTAAATACTTTATGAACTAGTTGGGTTCAATCTTCTGTTATTACTTGATTAATCTTGTTTTTCTTACATTCGTGAAGATCTTCTGTTCTTTTCGCTCGTGAAGATTCACGCTGGTTTCAGCATTGATTTGAAGTTCTCAAATCTTTCACCATGGGCATCAACAAGAAAACAAAACTCAAGTCACTCTCACAAGGTCGACCCCCCACGCTGAAGAAACCAGCTCAACGTATTTCAAGCAAAGCTACGCGAACAATTATTCGTAAGCACCATACACTGGAAAAGCAAAAGGCCAAGGCGTTAGCAGAAGGTGATGAAGTTAAGGCGGCGTCACTAACACGTGAGATTGCTTCACAAGGGGGATTGGAAAGTTATCAACGTGCAAGTTTAATCGGGCAGGGCAATGATAGAGGTGGGGATAGTAGCAAGATCTTGATGGATTGGCTAGCGCCTCTATGTAAAGATCTTCGGGGCCTAGTTGAGAAAAAGTCGCCTGTCCGCATGTTAGAGGTTGGAGCTTTGAGTACTACAAATGCTTGTTCGAGAAGTCATACCTTTCATGTCGAGAGAATTGATCTAAATAGTCAATCGGATGGAATCACGCAGCAGGATTTTATGGAACGACCGCTACCGAAGGACGAAACTGAAAAATTCAACATTATCAGTCTTTCTCTAGTCTTGAACTACGTTCCGGATGGCGTAGGCAGAGGTAATATGCTACTCCGAACTCGCAAATTCTTGGAAACAATCTGTCCGGCTGGTGATGGCTTTAGCGAATGGTTTCCGGCATTGTTCTTGGTACTGCCATCGCCTTGTGTGAACAACTCACGTTATATGGATGAAGCGAGACTGGAAGCCATTATGGAGAGCTTGGGGTATGTCATGGTGAAGAAGAAGCTTTCGAATAAGCTGGTATATTATCTTTGGCGTCTACAGTCGCCAACGATGAAACCACGACAATGGAAGAAGAAAGAGATTCGAGCTGGAGGTAGCCGCAACAATTTCTCCATTGTGCTTAAGAATTGATCGCTATAGAGGGGGGAAGGCAGGCGGTCTACATTATACATTGTACGTTGATAGACCGGTTGCAACTGTTCACCACGAATGACTATTCAGAAAGAATTCTATCATAAGCAGCATAGATTCCGATACCGACCGGAATGTCCCGCTTGCTTCCGAATACTGAGGGGTTGTGTAATGCATGGAGCGATAGGCGCAAGATGCAGAACGGGCTCGGACTACAAATTTTATATGGTGGGTCAGCAGCACCCTTGACGAAGATTTCGGCCTCTCCTGATGAAAAAATAGACAGACGAAAGATCGCCAATCAGTTGATGAAAGGGTACTGGTTCGTAATGCGAAACAGTCAAAATCATGAATGGCATGGGGAGATTCGGGACAATTAGTTGAGGTCTTCGAAGGTGGGGGGACTTTTAAGTTTTTACACAAAAATACCATGTAAGGGATGGATAAGAATACGGTAGATATCAGATTCGCCGAGAATTGCAAAGGACCTGACGGGCAAGTGGGTGCACCAAGTTTCTATTCTAAAATAGTACACTGCTTGAAGAGTAAACTCGAAGATTGCAGTCTAGATGGTAAGTTGGAAAGTCTGGAAAACTTTGCTGGAAAGAACTTAACGAATGAGAATCAAAGTAATGGTTGCACCGAAATACAAGGCATGGTATAAAACATTTGTGTTGTGCTTAAAATTGAATCTCGCATGACACCGGCTTGAAAATCCGATAAGCGTTATCTATGGCTGGAGAAGCTTGCTTGGTTTTTAAAAAGGCGGACTAAAACCACCAAATATCAGTCTAGATAGATCTTAATATACAACCCACACACACCCAATTACACCTTATTCTTGATCCTGCCATATTAATTTGCTCGTGTGTCCATTCTCAAGAAACATCAGACGGGTAACAGTGATTTTTTTTCTTTAGATTAACTAAGGTTTACCAGATTTTCGAGTTTCGCCATACTCAGCTTCTGACTGTGGCATTTGATGATATCGCAATAACGAATAATCTATTGCCTCTTCATCATGGCGCCTCCTCCCAATCGAAATCCAACAACTTTCTATGAGTACGAGCATGGCACATCAGGATCCCCCAGAGGCTCTATTAGTAGCAATCGAAGTGTACGATTTGACTCGGGCAATTTCTCGCCATCTGCAGAATCTGATTATTTGGCCTCTGGAGACCAGAATGAACAGAATGAAGGTCTGAGGAGACGAAGGTATTTCGTCCTTCTGTTTCTTTGCGTGGATCATGGCTAATTTTTGTTTTCAAGGTCTTCGATTGCCATACGATTCAACTCCATTGCCAATGCTGGAGGTGTGAATAGTATCGAGAACTTTGCGCGAAGTTTAACACGAGCTACTGCCTTCCACGAAATTACTCCGCGCCGCCCGTCGTTCATACTTGCTGGGGACGGCAGCGGAGAGGGTGATGATCCAGATCTAGAATATGGAGGATTACAGGCGGACTATGGTAGAATACCTCGATCTTCCTTGATCAGAGATCACTTACGGAGATCAAATTCGGATGGTGTGGGTGATGACGAATCTGCAATTGGCGATGAGACAGAGAGCAACCTATCCCGGGTTGCCAGCCACATGAAGCCCGAAGGAGAACGACTTCTTGGAGGCGATCGGGCAAGCGTGCAAGGAAGTGTAAGAGGCAATCAATCCATCTTTGCCATTGCTCCGCATCTATCAACTCCTTTAGCAGGAAGCTATGGAACGTCTTATGGCACATTACGTTCAAGCTTAAACGAGTCATCGATGATCCATGCTGGTCAACTTTGGCGACAACAGCAAGCCACCGGTGCAAATGTTGCTGACGGGGAACACATGCCTTTGGTTGTCAAGGAGGTCGAAGAAGATGGAAAGATCGTACTTGTAGTTGAGGGACAGTCTACGCTTCCACAGACGATCCTTAATTCCACGAATGTTCTCATTGGAGTTGGACTACTCAGTCTTCCTATGGGCTTGAAGTACTCCGGACTGCTATGTGGCATGATATTACTCTTTCTATCGGCGCTTGTCACGTCGTACACGGCGAAATTGTTGGCTAAGTGTATGGATAGAGATCAGAGTCTTTTGAGTTTCGCAGACGTTGCTTATGCAACCTACGGTCGCAAGGCGAATATAGCAACTAGTATCCTATTTACTATGGAGCTTCTTGCAGCATGCGTTGCCTTGATTGTCCTTTTCGCAGATTCCCTTAACTCGCTGATTCCATCTGTCGGAGTCAATGAATGGAAAATCCTGTGCGGTCTTCTTTTGATACCACTCAATTTTGTCCCTCTGCGTTTATTGAGTTTTACCAGCATCCTTGGAATCGTCTCATGTTTTTCCAGTATGTAAATTTTTCCCCGAGTCCATCACATTGGCTAACCATGATAGTTGTGCTAATAATTCTCATTGATGGGTTCGTAACACCACGAACTCCTGGTTCTCTATTGGAACCGGCAACTCAATACATTTTTCCAGCCAATGTAAGTGTTCTAGATATCACTTGTCTCAGTATCATTCGTCATTCAATGTTATCACCAAAGATATTCAGGCTGTCAGGTCTATCGTATTTTCGTACACTTCTTGCTCAAATTGATGCATTCAGGGCGCGGTATTCAAATTCAGATGAAAGAATCATCTCCTCATCAGATGCTTCCGAGAATGAGATTAACATGACATGGTATCCACTACTATATACACTCTTTACTAATGCTATCCTGTCTAGTGGCTCACGCTCCCACTTTCGTTCGGCCTTATGATGTCGCCCTGGGGAGGACATTCGGTTTTCCCCAACATTTATCGTGACATGAGACACCCATATAAATTCGACAAGGCAGTCAAATACACATTCAGTTTCACAGTAAGTTTTGATTTATCTCCAACATCGCCTACATTGTGCTAAATGTTTTATAGTATGTGCTTGATGCTACAACAGCTCTAGCTGGTATATTGATGTTTGGAGGTAAGCCCCGCACTTCAAATTCAACGCTTCCCTTTTCCTCACATCTTAACCTTTGGGTCTATCCTTCTTACACCCAAAAACTACATCTCTCACAGTGAGCTTCGATGTCAGACAGCCACTAATATATCTGTAGATAACGTCATGGACGAAGTGACAGCCAACATTATTGGAAACTCAAGCTACCCTCGCAGCTTATCTCTCATGATTTGCATATTCATTGCCATAATTCCATTGACTAAAGTCCCCCTGAACGCCCGCCCTATTGTGTCTACAATCGAATTGCTCTGTGGGCTTGACTCTCGCGCCATGCCCGAATCACAGGCCCTTACCGGACTCCCAGGCTACACTCGCGGTATAATCAAAGTTGCCATTCGTATCATTATTCTCATCTTGTTTGTAATCATTGCTATTGTCTTCCCGGCTTTCGATAGTATTATGGCATTCATGGGTTCGGCTTTGTGCTTTACCATTTGTGTCATTCTACCGCTATTGTTCTACGTCAAGATGTTTGGAAAGGAAATCACTAGGAGAGAGCTGATATTGGATTACTGCTTAATTGCTATTAGTTCTGTAATGGCGATTGTGGGTACTGTCTGGGCTTTCTTGCCCAAAGAACTTATACGCGCTGAATAATGCGCGCATGGCAAACGACACATTTTTAATATTCTTAGGGAGGCAGCATACATGCTTTGGGAATGTGTTCGTTGCATGGTTCATAAGGATTGATATTGGAGTTCTGCATTATCTATTGATGGTGGTCGGTTGATACTTTCTATGCAGTCGCTCCATACCCAGCTTTTCTTTATCTTGTTTATACATATTTCTTATTCATTCTGAGGGTTGTCATGGAGAGGGATCGCCGGTTATTCTGTGCATATATATATGATGGGGATGAGATGAGATTACGTATATACTTAAGGTTAAATGAGAAATAGGATATACCATAACTTTTTTTTCGTGCAATTTCCTCGTGAATGTTATGTGTAACTGTTCTTTGACTATTTGGTTTCAGGGGGTTCACAGTCAGTAGTGAGCTTGCGGTGAGTAGCGGGGTTGTTGTAATGGAGATGTATGAGTGAGTACCTACTTGCCTGATTGAAGGAACAACACTCATGCTATTTCCGATTCAAGTCTTGGGGATACAAAATCGGCAGTTGTGATAATCTGAAGTCTCTCCTATTACTCTATAGAATTCAATAGAATTCAATAATATTACAACATCTTCTTTATCAAATCTTCCCATCTCATCTCATCTCATCTCCAATACCTGCCTTTCGTAATTGCATCTCTACAGTCTGCATCTTGACCAAAAAAAAAAATCTAATGTATATTTCCAATATATATATATACAGTCTGGATTCCTATTATTACATGCAATCCCATCATCATAATCACCTATTCGTATAATTTCCCTTTACTGTTTCTTGTCGGATTGTCCCTGTCCATATTCCTGTTTCTTTTCCTTTGCCTTTTCCTTCTTGGTAGCATCTGGTTGACCGACAATCTTAACGGCGTCTTTGGTGTAGATGTAGCTCATTCCGCTCCAGATGGTAGTTGTGGCTACGAGGTATCTAGGTCATTTGTTATTATTTTGTTTTTGTAGATTCGTTGGGGTTCTCGTTTCCGTGTAGTATTGAACCTCCTCATCTCGGTTCTTCATCTTGTGCTCCGAGCCCCACTGGTTACAAATACATTCTACGCAATATCTTGCCAAAGAAAGAGTCCAGTACAGGAAAAAGAAGAAAATAACTCACTTAAGCCCCGTCATAGCAATCCCAACATCCCACGTAATCAACGGCAAAGCCGTCGTCGCTCCAATCAATCCCAGCTGCAATGCCGTGTTATACTTACTAATAGTAGTTGGATGTACCTCGGCCGATGGAAGCGAGAAATCCCAATAACGAGAAAAGGTTTTGGGGGGAGGGAGAGAAATCCATCGCCAATAGATGGCGGAAATGGCGAGCCCGATGTCGCGACCGAGGATTATGGTTGCGAGCCAGACTATGACAAGAGGGGCAGTTTTAGTGATATTTTCTTTTCTTGAAGATTGGTGTTCGAAATATTGGGGAGAGATTAACATCATCATTATACAAAGGCACAATAAAAAAAGAAACCAAAAACGTACCAGGCAAACCCCCCTTAATCGCCAAACAAACCGTCAAAATCGTCATCAGCGTCTTATCCGCCATCGGATCAATAACCGTGCCCACCACCGTTTGCAAATTCCATTTCCTCGCAATCCATCCATCTACCAAATCCGTAATCCCGGCATAGGCAAAGAGTCCAACAGCCCACGCATGCTGATCATGCAGAACGAGGTATCCACAGACGGGCGCAGCAATGAGACGAGAAAAGGTGAGGATATTGGGGATGGTGTAGATGTTTTCGTGGGGAGTGAGCGATTTCATGGATTTCAGAACTTCGAGGGGTTTCTTAAGGGGCGTGGGCTGTTTGCTATGATTGCGTTTGCATTAGATCTCTTCATGTTTGAGAGAGGAGGGAAGGAATAGAATCAAATAAGAAATCCATCGTTGCGTATCCAAACAACTTTGAAATACCCCCCCCAACTCATTTCCTATCAATAAAAGTGTCACTCGACCCCTCACAGATCACGTGATATCAATCCCCTTTCCAAGAAAGTCTCAACCCAACTCCCACCCAAAGAGAAAACAATCACCATACCTTTCCTTCTCCCCGCCACTCTCCGTCGAATACCTCACCATCCCCCTCTCCCGTCGTGATCTGTAACCCATTAGCCCCATACCACTCCACTCCACGCGGCTATCACCACCCGCAAAATAAATAAATCCTCACATATCAGAAAAAAGCGCACCGCCATTCCTCCCCCTACACATCGATTTCGAAAGCGTGTGCATTGCAACCCGCGGCATCGACCGCGTAGAATTCATTCCCACCCCCATCCCCATCGCCGGCCTTCCCTTCCACAACGCGAAAAATTGTTGTCTAGCCATCACACTCGACATTCTCATCGCATCCTGATTTTCCCTGCAACCCTTGCGAAAGAGAAAACCTTACTCAAACCCAAACCGCAATAGACTCAATGCAAACGGGAAGTTTGTTTTGTCGAAAAGTCAAAAAGAATATGGTTTGAGTTTGTTTGGTGTTTGGCGTGGGGTGGGAAGAACCTTGATATTAATTCGGATGGAATCCAAAATACACTTTTCCAATCAATTATGGAATTGTCCGAGGGGAAGGTGGGGTGTCTACTCTTTCGGAAGCAAATAGCCGCCACGCGTTTATTGGCGGTAGGTGAGGTATCACAGTGTTTCATCACCATAAATCTACACAATATGAACATGAGCTTAAAGGAATGTTTTTTCTTACTTGCTCAAGTGCAGAAGGGTCTATTGGTAATTTTGTGCATTTTTTGCCTATGGGAAATCATTGAGAAGCATTGAAAATCATCTTGAAGTACAATAAATAGTAAATGTGGAAGAATTTACATCCATGAAAAAGGTGAATCAAAGTATCACTGAAAAAGATTGATTGTAACACGAATATCAAGTTTAAAGTCACTTCCATAAAAAAATTCCCCCAGTTTTTTTTAAGAATATCAATATTTAATTACAAATTCAAGCCTATTTAGGAGCTGCGCGCCCGATTGACCTCTATAAAACTGTTCAATATACAGTTGTAAAAACGGATAATTTCAACAACGCCTACAAAACCAAGAATCAATGACACCCATCGGGATCGTCGTTCAGTAATGGTATAACAATGGTATCCGCCCCGACAATCATTCCGAGAATATTGCTGCTAAATATCTGCAGTACACGTACGCCAGCGCCAGCGACCATGCGTAACCCATATGCACACACACGAACTTATATATACCCCGGCGCCGGCAGTCACCCGTAACCCATACATACGTACATACATGTATCTAAACGATTAAAAACAAAGTAAAAAAGGTTCAAGAACCGGCATTTTAACTGCCAAATGAAGAGACTTTGTCTCATAAGCCATTTTCGAATAACCAGAAGAAAGAAAAAGCTTCCTATCGATACAGAAAGGTTGCAATATGGTAACGATCATGAGAAGTCTCCTCTAAATCAAGAGGTTGAATGTATCGACAAAATATACAAAGAAGTTATGCTCACTCTCCAGCTTCGCGTCCGTTATTAGGATGAGCGTAGTGGCGTAAAGGAGATTTTTTTGACGTAGGAGGAAAGATAGGAGCCGGTTGATGAAGGACATCCGGTTCTGATGGTGGAAGACTAGGGATTCAAAGTTGGCATATTAATTTACCTGCCACTTTTTGAACCAACAGCTTTTAAAGACCGTTTGAGGAAGGCCAAGATTGATGGTCCACGTTGTAATGGGCATGGCCAGTGCTGACATTTCCCGGCGAGGTTTCCATGTTTTGAGGGTACTGATTGCCGGCTTGTGTGTTGTATGGTTGGTTAGATTGCGAAATGGTTCGTTGTGCCTGAGAATAAGCATGCGAAGGAGTGGTTGCATCTCTTGTTTGATAAAGATTTGGGGAAGCGTATGTACTCTCGTTAAAGTTTCTCGAGCCCATTTGGCTCTGGAACATCCCGGATGCTCCCGAATCGTGCGAACTCCTCGAGCTCATTTGGCCTTGGATCATGGCAGGCATCCCCGATACCATTTCGGATACTCCAGAACTGAGTCCTTGCTGACCATAACTCGAAGATCGATGAGCAAGCGGCGTTGCATTCATGTTAGAGATGGAACCATGTCGCTGCTGTCTATAGACATTGTTGTATGCATCAGCTCTTTGTGTATCATACGTGCTTGGAGCTGGTGAGTATTGATTGTAAGAAGAGCCATGCGAACTTGTCGCGGGTAGTCCTCCGGTGTAAGGACTCATGGTATTTGGGCTCCCAGAAAGAATGTTGTTGTAAGAGCTAGGACCTGAGCTTACTGCAGGGAAATTTCCGTTGAATGGAGCGAGACTATATGGTGCGGCTGACATACCCATTGCGTAGTTGTTATTGGAGAGGAGACCGTTAGGTTGGTAGGGCATGCCATGCGCAGATGGTGCGGGTAGTCGCGGCGCATTTCGATTCGAATAGTCGTAATTGCTTCGTCCTGAATTGTGTTGGTAGGCAAGGTGATTTTCATGTACGTCGTCTTCATTTAAGAGGGTGGAGTCGTTAGGAGAGTGCTTGTAGCTTTTGCTATAGATAATGTCCCTACGCGGCTTGACGTCTGGAAATGCATTTTGTGGGATTGAGAGTTTTCCGGAAACGACATCATCGATTGTGTAATATGACACAATGTGATGAGTGAGTTCTCCTACTTGGACAGTGATTGTCTTCTTAATGAGACAATTACCATCCTTCTTGAAGTCGTATGAATCAACTAGCGAACCGACCAATTCACGTTCCATCTCTTTGTTGAGTGGTCCATGCATGGAAGAGTAAACGTTGCCTCCGGGACTAGTGGAACCATTACCATTCTTTCGAATGCCTTGTCTCTTGTCTTTAGCCATGGCTCTCTTTTTCTCTCCTGGTGCAAATGGCTTATTCAACTCTCGGTAGACAAGGAAGTTTCCTACCATGCGACTTGGACTCCATGTTGTACCATCGGTCCACCGTTTTACTCCAGATGATTGTGCTTCGTGTATGAAAATGTTGCCGCTCTTGATGAGTTCAGATCTCTCCTTGTCATGGGGGCGACGGGCAATATGGTTAATCTTTCCAATAAAGGCAGCTTCGAGAAGGATCATTGCAGCTTTTGTGTCGGGGATATAGCCATACCAGGTTGGCTTAAGAGTACCATTTACCGCAACTGGTACAGGCATAGGCATAGAAGCACCTAACGATGCCATCTTGGAGACTGATGTGCTACTATATGGGGTGGGTAGGCTGTGATGTGTACTAACGACAGTTGACTGACAGAAGGAAGAAGGTTAAGTAAGAAAGGGACCGTCGGGAGAAGGTGGTGGATGTAGTAACGTAGTAGTGGTGATATACTCCTGGAGTTGGACGAGTAAGAATAGATTCAAGATCGAGGACGAATATCGAATAGTGAACAATGTATATTGGGAAATATCGAATTTTCGAGCCGAGATAATGTTAAGTGGGAAAAAAAGAAGAGACCCAATGATTGCTGGCACTCCACTGAGTGACAACAACGACTAATAAATATAAAGTTCGGTGGGAGAATAAGGCTGAAAAAAACAAAGTTCAATATTGAACTATGGAAAGTTATTATGTGGAATTGTCAAATTGGTGGAAAAGCTTTTTTTTTTTGTCTTTGGAATTAGGAGGATATTTGATGTTCTTGAGGTCGAAATGACGAGGTACGGGTATATATGTAAACGACGGGGTTTTGAGCTTGGGCTCTCGTTCGATACGTTCCGGTGGATGGATGTTCGAGGTCGATTTCAAGTCCGATTTCGATAGCTGATGGATGCTGAATTGGATGTTGATGTTGATTGATTTGATGTCAGGCTTGCTTGGCTGAGAAGAGCAACGATTCCATTCAAATGGACGATTGAAGAAGATAGTTGGATGAATTGGAAGAAAAAGAGTATAATCTTTTCTTTCGTTCCTTTCGCTTTTTGCTTTTGCTTTTGCTTTTGCTTTTTCTCATTTACGTGTGGGATGATATGGTAATAAGAAGATAGAAGTGATGAACCAAATCTCCAGGATAGAAAGAGCAAATTGGAAGAAAAGAGAGTTTGAGAGAAGTTGCGGGGGAGAAATCGAGCTAAAGTACTGGTCGATATACTAAGTCACGACTCACATGATGTAGTAACGATTTAGTATTTATTAACCATTTAGTAGCATTTTTACTATCATTTAAATAGTAAGAGCAAAAGCAAAAAGCAATGAATTTTATCTATCTATATCTACGCTTGACTTAAGGAGGGAAGGACTCAAGAGTAAACGTTTGAAAAGTGGAGTGGTGGTAATAGACAGACTCCCTAGTAGTATCAACGATTCCAGACTTTTACACTTTATTATTATTGTCCAGTTATGAGTTACGAGTTACGAGTTATGAGTTATGTTATCTTATGTTATTGGCTTGCTGCATTCACGGGTCAAGTCCAGTCCCGTAGAGTCGAGTCGAGTCTTGTCCCAAAGAGTTAGGAATGAGAACTCAGACCCAGGTATCCCGTTCAAAAAACTACTGCTCAGAACCTGTGTCCAGCGGACTTTTTGGATTTCCCGCGAAACCAATTGGTATTTTCTGCCCTCTGCACTCTGCACTCTGCACTCTCCACTCTGCAATCTATCATCTACAATCTGTAATCTGTAATGCATGTAGGTGTGTTATAACTTAAGTCGTGTTAGTCCTGTTAGTCGTCTTAGTCTTCTTAGTCCTCTTAGTCGTGTTAAAACTTATTAGTCGAGTGGGATCCATCTGGTAGGTGAGGTCAAGAAGTGGACATACCAAGACTTGACGAAAAGCAGTACCTAGGTAGTTAGCTATGTATTCATGTATGACTTGTGTATTTCCCGTTAATTAGTGATCAATGATCATATCTGTGCATCACTTCACTTAGTTCTCCAACTAACTCTACATGGGGTCCGGCTATTTTCTGAATGGTTCATCGCCGGTACTAGCATCTTGTTCAACTCTCAACTTGCAAGGGATGAGAAGCTGTATTGCGCCTAAGATGCAGGAACTGAACTCGAAGACTCTTGAGATTGAGAGTCAAAGACACAAGACTCAATTTATTCCAATGTTCAGGGCTATCCGTGGTCCAGGCGTCAAACCTTTAAATTTGAAGAACCTGAAAATAATACACCGTATATACCACACCGTACCCATACCCCCAGCATACACACCCATTAATAAATGAAGATAAAGCACGGTTGGTGAGTTGGTGAATCGTAACGTGTCGACACTACGACTGCTTGGGTCAATACTTGTCTGGGATATAGTCCTTACAAGCGTAGAACGAAATGCCTGTTTGATGGCGATGCATTGCGCTCCATCCTTCATGCCCGCCCTCACAACCAGGTGCTGGGATTTGTTCATTTGGAGGTGGGAAATCTCCGTACAATGCAGTTCTATGCCTGTAATCTAGATGCTCGCGATTTAATTTCATACATAATACAGCTGAGCAAATTATTTCCAATATTAGTTGACAAGGTGTGCTGCGGATTAGCTTTTGCTTTCGTATGTGCAACATGGATTCACAAGAGCCGAAATCATTATACGACATCCCTCTGAACACATGGAACATCACCGCAGAAGATATCGCAAAAGCGCTAGTATTCTATACGTGAATCCTAACCACTCCATAGATAACAATGATACAAACTTCACGCTTGAAAATGCTTAGCTCTTCGTGACATGGTCTTTGCAGGGAGGTGAAGAGCTGCCGCTTCTCGGGTAAGCATTAGTATGAAGAAAGCTTAATACTTATTATACTTATTATACTTATTATGATGCTACAAGGTGCGAGATAATTTAAGAAAGAAAGGCTCTTTCCATTGGTTTCGATTGATAGTCAAGTCGACGATTCAGAAATTCACATTTCGTAGAGTTCCTGTTGTATTTCCTTTGAGTTGCCATTAGGAAGTGTCAAAGATGCAGACGGGGCCACCTCCCGAAAGTTAATGTAGGGAGGAGCACGTTGCAGGCGGGTACCGGTATTCTGCTTATCTGGGATCTGTCCTGGCTTGGCTGTGATCAGAGTTTCTCATGGCAAGGAAGTAGTGGTGCCCTCCGTCGACAAGTTGGAAACTCCTCTTGGCTGTCAAATCTTCAAGGCGGACGACATTCTTAGCAGTGTATGTTCTATTATTACATTTTTTGGTGCAATTTGAAACATCTTGTGATGCTCCAATGGAACAGATGTCCGAACTGTATGAGAAAGACGTTTGTTTCTCGAAACTCTACAAAGAAATTCCACTCCTACGTCTGCACGGTTCGGTGTTCAAGATCGCGGCAGCTCCTACATCTTGAGAATCATTCTCGACCCTCCTGAGCATAACAAGGAGCAAAATGACCCGGTGGATTTTCGGTATTAGGTACCATACCAGGCCTAGTTTTTGATCCTCGAAACGATCTTCTAGGCCTCTTGTACTCTGAGAAACACTAGATAGCGACTGTGCACCCGAAGACGAACGACGTATACGGATTGGAGAGACATTGCGCACGATCCCTAATCGTTAGTGGCTAATGAGTGAGCAATTCCTTGCAAGCCGTTGTGTAAAGTCCTGGTTCGTCTGGTTCTCCCCCTCATTGTGTACCACGCAGTCTACAGTTCTGGGCGCGGTTGAAGTGGTGACTGTTCTGTGACACACAAGATGGTTCTATGATCCTTATATCGAAATAGAAAAAGGAGAGGCTATACGTATACAAACTCTGCGATGCTATTTCTGTGCTTTTAACAAAGATACAATAGCTCTCCATGATCGAATTAAAGTGACTCCACGGCCCTATCAGTCGGTTGCCACCGACCAGCGCATACACTGTAGCCTCATACATAGCACACCCAAAGTGTAATCGTTCTTGGGAATGTTTTATAGTTTTCGATCCCTCATGTTCCAGTGGGCTTCGAACCAGTATAGTACACAAACGGCCAGAAAACATCCGAGCACAAACTTTAACGGTGTATCTATTTGACTTTAGAGCTAACAACGAAGCACACGTTTACCATCCTCCTTATATGGACTTCTGCCCTTTCGCGATGAACCTTCACGGTGTTTTCGGAGACGACTGTGTGGTTTGGCCAGTACGGGTTTCAGCTGCGCACAAACATTGCAATATCTCTCCGCGTTGTTAAAACCGGGCCGTGATTCATATTATTTGCTGGGAATCCATAGATCTGAGTTGAGAGAGACCGAAGAAAGTTTAAGTAGCAAGGTAGTGGACGATGTAGCACAGTAAAGTGATCGATCGTCATTATCTAGTTGTTCGCCAGAATGGAAAGAATGGAATGTCAGTGACCATTGGCGTTACGAGGCTTAGACTATTTACCGCTCTTGGAACTCGTGAAGCGCCACCTACGTAGTGGGTGTGTACGCGAGATATCTAAGTGCAAAATGCTTCTGACTTACCGTGACGATTGACGAATCGGATTGGGTCCGAAACAACCTGAAAAGAATGGCCACTTTTGAAGGGCCCGAGTCCTTGCAAGTTGCAATCGTGAAGATGCCGTAGAAGTATTCCAGATGGTTTTGTGTGCTCTGCTCTACACCGATGTGTGTAACGTACGTTGTACACTGATGGCCCTCGACGATGGATTTTGGTAAATGGCAATCATACTCCGTGCTGTGTTCATGTGGTAAATGTCGATCCCCAATATTACCAAACTCTAATACCGTTTGGTGATTAGAGAATCGGAATTTTCACGATTGACATCAAAAATACGGTCTCAAGTGGAGGAAATGATGAAAGAATTATCAATTTGAAGAGATTAGCTTAACAGCTATATTTCCGATTTCACGATTGACATAAAAAATGGCCTCAAGTGATTTCTATCGACTTGAAGAGATTGGAGAGTAGTTAATTAATACTATCATTATTAATTCTCAAAACATTTACGGTGATTTAACTCAAAAACTCGGTTATTTCTAAATAGGTATAATTAGTCAGCTTATTGACAGTAGATCATAAACTTATTAGATATACATATATATAATTATTCTATAAAATAATACTTATGATATGAATGAATTCAAGACTCTAAAATTTAAATCTCTACTTTATTCAAATTTTTACTATCTTTATACTGAATTTTTACTGAAATCAACTCGAATTAGATATAGAATATAAAATATTACAATTCGAATCCATAGAGTATTATTCAGATGTTATCTTAGTAAGAGATCAGGTACATTCAATATAATCCAAAAACTCAATATCAGAATTCCATCGTTTATTAAGATTTCATCAAAAGATCGTCATTTCAATCTTCACTGTTCAACATCTATCGCTACGGTGATTACATAACACGCATTGCCAGCCCGTTAGGCCTTCGATGTATCTATTCCGTAAGTGTGTGTCGACACGACACGATACCGAGTAGAAGAAAGAACATACGTGGAATGTACGCTTTGTGGTAGATTGCATCGCTGTAGAAATATGAGATTTTGGGTTACTCTACTTTCCTCCCTCGAGCTTTTCTCTCTATTGAATGGACTAAGAAACTGGAGTGAACGAGAAAAGCTGTGATCAAATCTTCATTCGATCATATCTCCCAATAGTGTGTTGTAATGTGAGCAGGGAATTCGAGCTAGGAGATCGACAGACCAGTGGCCTCGAAGTGAAGGTTATCCGAGAGATCGTTTGAATCATTAGTGAAGAATTTGAGACTTCAAACTTCGATTCATCTCCGTCCGATCAACGGAGCAAAGGAGACAACAGTTGGGTACTTGGTTCATCACAGCCAATCAAGCCAAGCAAGCCAATCAGGCACATTTACCCATGATAGCATCGATCGAGTCCCCGCTTGACATAATCATAACCATAATCATCGTTGTATGTTGTAAGTTCTAAAAGTTGTAGGGTGTAGGGTGTAGGGTGTAGGGTGTACGTTGTACGTTGTACGGTGTAGAGTGTAGGGTGTAGGGTGTAGGGTGTAGGGTATAGGGTATAGGATATAGGGTGTACGATGTACGGTGTAGGTTGTAGGTTGTAGGTTGTAGATTGTGTGGCGTGGGTATTTCCCGATACTTGCTCATTTCATACATTTGCTTAATTATGCCCTTAATTATCTAATTACAGCAAAAGCTGCCGCCAAGGCTGGATTTGTAAGCAGGACGGAGTACGAAGTAATGATTGTGATGATATCGGGAAAGGGGGGGAGCGGGGGGTTATCCATCTGGAATTCTCTCGTTCTTTTGCGCCCCCCTGCCCTGCTTCAATCTTTGAAGATTGTAAAGATTATGTGAAGATTGGAAGCTTGGAAGATTGAAGATTCTATTGCACCCAAATTAACTCGAATGTCCACTGTCCACCTATGGTACGTCCTGCCTCCTCCAAATTAGTGTAAAACGTCCCGCGCCAAGTCGAGTAAATTAACGCGCATTTCTCGTGATTCTATTGGCGTACATAAGGCAACGTATAACTCGGCGAAAAGGTCGGAAATTGACCGAAGTTCCATGGACTAGCAAAACCATGATCTACTTGAGCCTAATCAAGATACTCGTGCAAGCAAGGAAGATGTGTGTATTTAGTGCTAACTATCAAGCTAGATGCACATACCACGATGTCATTAGACGATAAGAGGATTAGCCCCCTTTTCTCTTAGTGGTGGAGTTGCACACCAGGTATTTTGAGGCCGCACGAGTATTGGTCTCACACCTCCTTTCAAGGCAGATCCTAGATTAGCGGGGGGTTGTCCACATTCATTTTGCACCAGATTTCAGTACCGACTTCGAACTCCAACTACCGTACAGTGGCCTGGATACCCCCACCAAAGTGTTGTGTAACATCCATCCTCCTACATGGGCAATGGGCGTGTCACTGCAGATGCTCACTTGCTTCAGCTTACCTACTACCTACTACCTACTACCTACTACCTACTATCTGCTACCTACTACCTACTACCTACATCGTACTTCACTTGGAGTGGCCCTTGTCGGGAACCGCCTCCATCAAATAAAAAAAAATCCTCCCAATTTCACTGGGTAGCAGGCGCTTTTCTGCCTCAGTCTTCCATCAAGCGCTGTACCCTGGTGCATTCCGATCTGAGAGTGCACAGCTGCCCAATGGTCGAAGTGGGCAAAGAGGAAAAAAAAAAGTGGCACGAGCAGTATGGGTCGACGATCATGCCCGCGAAGATCCCCGAATCTGTAGGCGAAACTTTCGGTTTCGCCGTTTCGAAAGCTTCCAATTTGTTATCTCGCCATGTTGGCTCTGGGGAAGGAAGATGCCGTGTCCACGTTGTGCAGTTACTGTACAATCTTAGCAATTTTTCCACATGATGCTCCCAAAATTGTCTCAAGGTAATACGGTGTTTGAACATAATGTCCGTGACCTTAAGTGGGCTCAAGATCATGATTGTACAGAATGATGAGGAGAGCGGTCTGTGGGTTGACTGAAAAGGTCCTAAAAGCGAATTATACCAGAACAGGATGCAACACGCCTCGTCCATCTTGCCTGTTCTGACCGTTTTGTTATGGACATTGGTGTAAGTAAAACAATGGACGAACATTGCACAATCATGCCATAGCCATTTTCTTCTTTCAATTCTACATTCTCGCAAACGTTGCGACAATCTGATCCTTTCCAAACACAATGGAATCCTTCGAGACTGCTGGTCATTTGGAATTATCGCATGTTTTTTTTCTTCTCTCGTCGCGCATGATGAAACCTCATCTGGAAATGCCGTGCAAGGGATATGATGTCCACCACGAGGCTGTTTCAATGTGGCAATGCCTGCTGTGTTTACATCAATCAAATTAGACATCGATCTTCAGCAAGTGATGAGAAACTAATCATGAGAGGATCTCATTCATGTCGGGGTCAAATACGAGATGATGGCCCCATGGATTACGACGATGTCGGCATTACAGATCCAATACCGGTGCAGGTGTTATAGAGGGGGGCGCGCTTTGTTTCGCCCCGGACATGTTGTAGATGAGACTCGGGAGAAAGAGAGCCGTTTTCTTACATGAGCGGGTTCTACGAGAATTCTACGCGCATCTAAAATCACTTACTATCATTCCTCAAAATATTAATATGATCATGTGAAGTTTGGATTGAGAATAGTTACACACAAATTCGACAGAGCCTTGTTAATTAAGCGAATCTAATGAATCAATTGTAATATATTTCTACTTCAAATCAGATAAAACTTTATCAAAAAAGCAATGATGACAATTTTGAAATTACTAATCTAATGACAAATCAATCCTTACATCGTGGAATCCAATTTTCGAGAAGTGATTTTGGGATGGAGCGATTGTAATGAGAATAAAAATAAATCTAATTATTTTCACGGTAAGTTTGTGTACATTCACTAGGATACGTTATTTTTATCAGAATACTTCCATTGGTTAGAGTTCTTCATGTTAAATTCTAGAAGCATTATTATTCGAATGGTAAAAATCAAAGCATAGGCACGTTCGCTTTTCGAATGCGAGATGCAACACTCAAGCCGTCAATCATCGTATGTTACACCAAGTAAGATAGGTGAATACCGCGATGTAATTAGCAACCACTCAATCCTACTTCCCTACTGTCTGGCAACTGTGCATCTACTTTCACTGATTTAACATGACACAATCTCGATTCCTCGTTTTCTAATCAAGCATTATACTGGTTGAAAATTTCTCCGCATTGCCTTTAAGTCAGGGGCCTGCCTTCATGTTAAAATCATCGTGGACAGTGCCCTGACGACACGTTTCATGGTACCCTGAACCCCAGCGAGTGTGGATGTCACTGTCCACAGATCTGCATATTGGACTGCGTGCTTATCATAGGGGAGTAACATCCATGAAGTGCCAATACCCAAGCGCACGTGGTACACCGCAGTCGGAACTAAGACCCTCAGCTCATAACGCCAGCGCAGGCTATAGGAAGGTATCCGCAGCTGTGAATACCACCTTAGGCTTGACTTCCGGCAAGGCCAATAGGAAAATCATCGCATCGGAAGATTGACTTGATTAAGGGTATTCGCTGTAATACCAGGGGCGCTTCGATCCATACACATTACCCGGGAAAACCATGGGTACGGGGATAGACCCATCAAAAACCTCCATAATCGGCATGCCCGATTTAGGGACAGCGGCCGGCGCATTCAGATCGGTGAGGGGGACGGAGAACAAAACACCGCATTCCCAATTGCTGCAATTCAACTTGGGCTCCTTTGTTACTCTGTCCTTTACCATGCGGCCCCTTTATTGGTTAGGTTAGCTATTTTCTGCCCGAGCAGCACACCGCGATGGATAGAAAAAGTATCGTGTGAAAACGGAAGACTTGCCATGCACTTTCCGAGAGATTTGCACTTCCAACGTACGCCCATGCGATGGGCTGTGGACTTTTTTGACTTTTCTGGGATCTTACAAATAACATTTTGTTGTGCATCAATAATCCCTCTCTGCGACTTTGACTATCGCGCATGAGGTCCCTTGGAAAAGCACTTGCATTGTACCATTTTGATCGAAAGCAAATCGTGCCAGCAGCCTGTTGATCGTTAAGTTAATGACCTTTTGGAGCTCTTATCCTGGTAAACATCATGGACTCTTCTTACATTTGTGCCACCCTTGCTTTCTTTGACTGTGTGTTCGCTGTAAATGGGAATTTAACAACCAATTCTGACGTGCAAGGTTGAATGACATACCTGGGAAAATACACGCGAAACCTGCGCCCAATTTCTTCTGAAAGCTGAGTCTCCATCACAGTCTCCATTTTGGACCTTGCGGGCTTCTCTGTTCTCCACTTGTATTCCTTGAACCCATTATCGCCTAGTACAAAAAATTTAGTCTTGTTTATCGGCAAGAAGCGACAAGAATGGGTGCTCGTATTGATGACCCACTTCATCCCAGCGGATGCTATTATCCGCGTGATAAGGCAGGTAATGAATTAAAGTCTGGGGAAAGTTCGGAAATGATCCAGATGTCAGAATAGCATGCTTACCCTGTGCTGCCAAATACATTGTTCGGAGAAATCGGTCATCAAGATTGCCCATGGACGCTGTCTGTTGATGTTAGTGTCCGACTCCGATAACAGCCTCATATTTTGTTGAACGAGTGAGAGGCTGTGAGCTTACTACGTATTCAATCTCCAAGGGGTGGTCTGTATGCAGACCAAGGCTCTTTACACAACTACCTAACCCTGGATAGCCGGTTCTTCGTAATTCCGTGCCAAAATGGGAACCTCCTCTGACTATGGTTAAATATAATCAATTGAAGGGGGATTATGGAAAGGACAAACATCGAATGTACGAATGCTAAATGTTTCGTACTAGAGAAGTCAAACCTTCTGAGGCTTTCAATCGTCCGAGGTGCTAGAGTCATCGCATGAAGAAAGTACAGTAAATCCTGTGCAAATGGTGTTAACTGGTCATCGGAAGCTCTCCCGCCATTGGGTAACCTTGGGAGATCAATCAAGAACACGACCTGGTCATCTTTTATCAGTTTAATCCCGATATCAAAGGTAGGCGCTCACATTTTCCAAAATACCACCACTCTCTCCCCAATCATATGGGGTCAAATTTGCCGAGGGTATGACTAGTCGTAAATGCGTAGGATGTGCCAGGATTTGAAGTTTTGAGTGCATGATGTTGACATTGCCTTCCATTGGAGGAAAGCAAAATCGATAAGTCTCCGGTGCCAATGACCTGAAGTTCATTTTCTATAAGATGTCAGCGAAAAGTTTCATTCGAGGTGCAGTGCAGTGCACGACTTTCATCCCAAAGTTCGATAGTAGAGAAACACAAGCCGGAACAGACACTGATGGTCTTGATACTGGATCGCAGTTTCCAAAAGTCTTTACTGCAGCTCAGATCTGAAAACTTTTGCTATTTGTAAATCCACGAACTTCATAAATTGATATCATAATCAAGCTTCAACTTCAAAGCTAATTCGATACGTAAAATCATTCCACCGTATCGAGCGAGTTCATTGTTCCATTGCAGTTGAGTCACTGAGATTGTTGAAACATACAGTCGGCTTTCAAGCTGTCGTCAAGAAGTCCAAATAAACATCTGATAAATCTCTTTAGGAGCCAGGTGATTTTGATCAGCCAGAGAAGTCGGAACCGGCCTCTTTTGATGCCCGGGAAACTCTCTTGCTTCTGTCTACTAAAGTAGCCTTTTTCATCCTCGGTTCGTTGTACAAAAAAGAACTATGGACCACTTGATCACATCGATGCTATTGTCCCGGAAAAGAAGACAAAGATGAGATAGATAGAATGAGAACTAGAACAGAGACTGTTTTTTCGGGTGAACCTGCAAGATAAAGGAAACCCTACTTACTTCGGCTTCGGTCTTTGCTTGCAAGACCCAGATGACTTTTGTAGAAGGTTGGATCTTCGATCTGATCCAATCAGAATCTATCTGAAAAGCACCCAAGATAGCATGTTCAAGGGTTGAGCTTTGAAGAACCTCTTCAATTTTGATGTCATCCTCCCGGGGGAACCCTTGCGCCCAAGTCTTTTTTACAACCCCGAGAGGAAATTGAATACCAGTACCTGATACGTCACCTTCTGAATTGCGACTTCTAGGTAGCTTTCCTGGGATGATGGAAGCTTCAATGTCAGTCTCGGAATTTAGCTCTATAAGACTGGATGGCTGATCGAGTGTGTTATCTAGTCCTTTGTCGGTGGAGTTTCGAGTTGTAGACGCCACCTCCCCATCTTTGACTGTCATTTGATGGGGTATAGGTTCTGAGCGAGAGACTTTTAGGTGGCGACGATCACTTAGTGAAGTTGTCGGCGACGATATTGAAGCCTTTCTTTTCTTGGAAATGGCATCTGGCTCTTTGCTTCTTTGTCTAATTCTTGCTAAACGTTCTTCCTCCATTTGTTTGCGAGTCAGACCATTGAAAAACGTGCTGCTTGGCTGGCTGGACACTACAAGTGGAGTCAGTATTAAAATCACTGGACGCGTCATTTTAGGATGTGAGATTGATACCCACTTTGAGAACTGGTACCGGGTTCGGCATCGGTGTATGTGTTGAGAACAGAATTAGTTTTTGGGAATTTGAAACGAGTTGCGACAGGCGCATCAAGGTCATCGCCATCATCATCTGAATTGGTGAGGTCGACAACCTTCTTCTGATTGATTGGGGCCGGCGATAAGGTTTCTCTCGAGGAGAGAGCAATAGCTTTCTCTAAGTCTTCGTCGCTTTGGAAGTCGAACATAGTTGGTGCGCTCTTTGAGAGAGCAATAGCTTTCTTCAAGTCTTCGTCATTTTCTGTGTCAGCCATGGCTGTTGTACTTGCAGTGAGATCGACAACATTCTTCTCACGGATGAGAACCGGCGATAAAGTTTCTCCCAAAGAGAGAGCAATAGCTTTCTTTAGGTCTTCGTCATTTTCTGAGTCGGACATGGTTGTTCTACTTTTAGACGTGGTTGCAGAGATCGGTTGTGAACGCGCACTGTCGGGAAACGGATTATGAAGTAAAAATATCTTTGTACGGATAGCTGCTTTACCTGCCATAGACAATAGTAGCGAGTTTGTCAGTATCAGAAAGCTTCCTGGTCGCTTATAGCAACGAGCAGATACACGAGGAAAGCGTGAATAGATCAGGCAACGAGGCATGAAAGATATAGTTTGAAAAGTGTGGCCATATAGAAGATTTCACTAATAATTATCTC